TTTTTAGGGTAAGGATTTTAGAAAAAAGTATCGTCTTATAGTCGGAAAAATATGGTAATTGCTTTTAACAAAGATTAATCTTAATTTAGTGACACAAAAGGTCATATTTATCCATCTTTGTTGTGTGGTTATAAACAAATGGTTTTAAACATGACTTTCAACAACCTTTAATTACTGTATTAACAATTATTTTTCATCATGCTAGCATGGCTTGACACATAATTTTAAAACTTCCACATCAGGGAATCTGCCTCATGCTGATGAAGCATTCAGACTGATTTACCCAAGCTGGAGGCCAAATAATTTTATTTAGTGGCCAAAGTTTTCAGGATCTTTAGAGGACTTGGTTATGTAAGGCTCCAGACTTACCTCTGACTTTGGGTGACTTATGGAATTCTTGTCAGAAATGCTGTGAAAGCAAAATCTTTCCTGATGAAGTGATGCTGGAAAGAGATTTATTTTAAGGAATGCCATTGGACCAGTTATTTGCAACTGAGTGTCTCATAATAATGTCTATTTTGTCAGGTGATAAGGATTCTTAAGACCAGTAGTCTTAAAAGATGATGGAAAGTTGAAAAATGCATTATTTTACCAAAGAAATAATTTTCTGGAGGCAGTCTATTATCAAATCTAATCCAAGTTTCATGGTTTATTTTTATACAGTTAATATACCTAGAGAGACTATCATCCACTGTTTTCTACACTAAAATATATTACTAAAATCTCTAAGACAGCTGAAGTAAAAGCAGAGTTAGATAATATATCCACCCAAAAGGAGGCTGGAGTTTTTTCCCAAAAGAAATTAAACTAAGGTTGACTTAGAGTTGCTGAGGAAATAGTAATGAACGCAGATTATTTACTTTCTGCCTAATTTTCCTTTTGGGGAGGGGATTATCTTAAATTTAGCAATCTTTACCTTTCAGGTAATTATGGTACCAGATAAAAAATGTCATCAGCCTGTGCAAAGTGGGGATAGTGCAGTGAGTGAAGTTATTTTGCTTCTAGTTAATATAGCTCTACTTTACAAGGCACACACAATTTCTATCACAGCCATTTCTACACTTTGCCATTATATTTTTAACATTAAAATTAGGAGATTTTCCTCCAAATGGAGATATGGTTTGAAAATGCTTTAGTGCTCTTGATTCTGTTTATATATGAAATGCTCATTGATAAGATAGATAAGAATGCAGTGTAGACTCTGGTACAGTGTTCCAGAATGTTAGCAGCACGTTTGCCACCAACCCACAGACCATGGTGGACTTAATTTCCCCTAAATTCAAAGGTTGGAACTTATTACTCTAAAATCTATTCTTTCATCAATGTAATTTTAATTTTTTGGCACCAGCCTGCTCACTTTTGTATATTGCTTTTAATAGGTGGAATGTCACCCTTACCTAGCTCAGAATGAACTAATAGCTCATTGTCATCAGCGAGGGCTGGTGGTAACTGCTTATAGTCCTCTTGGTTCACCTGACCGGATGTGGAAGCACCCAGATGAGCCAGTGTTGCTGGAAGAACCTGGGATAAAGAAGCTGGCAGAAAAATACAGCAAATCTCCTGCCCAGATTCTTCTCAGGTATTAATAAATTAGCCTTTGGAGAGACCAGTGCTAAAGGTCTGAAAAAGCAAAGAGCTAGACCCTAAAGCTTTTTATATTGTTCTTTAGTAATGCATTTATTTATTTAATTATTATTAAATTTGTATGCTGCCCATTTCCCCCAATGGGTGACTCTGGGCGGCTCACAATTAAAAATCAAAAGCTGATAAACAATTAAAATACCCCATAAATAATTAAATTACTCAATCCATAAAAATCCACTATAAAACAAACCCTATACATAAATACTAAAGACATTCAAGATGACGGAGGGGGAGG